TCAGGACCCCACCTTGATGTTTCGGGACCCCACTTTGGGTCCCGACCCCAACTTTGGGAAACACTGGTTTAAAGCAAAACACTGTGGTGACGAAACATGAGACGTTAAAGTGAGTGATGGTGTATCAATTACCTTTAACGCACCACACCCTTTAGGTCCTGGTGCATGGCACTGATAAAAACCTAACAGGGATCTGAAGCTGGTGGCTCTTTGTAAGGGTGACCTAAAAATGAACCTGRATAATGTTGATATTTAACCTCAAACAATAATTTAAGCTGTTTGTCCAACTATATTTTGTGACATTAACGTGTGTGAACCCAGTTTTGTCATCTCCCATCGTTTCAGTAGGAACATTTGCCAATAATGACTTGTGTTCTTAATAAATTACGTTTAAAATGCAATGATACGTTTTACTGCAGGGCTAATAGCCTATTCCTTGCATTAATGTAACTTTTAATTATCCAAATCAAGCAGAAAATTAATATATTTGCAACATATTTGAGACAAATTGTTGTAAATGTAGGGGAATACGAGTTGTRGAGATCAAAGATTTTAACACATAAAAATCTGACATTGTAAAAACATTCAGCTAGTTTTTTTTTTAATGAAAAATAAAAACCTGCCTTCATTTAAAAACTGGTACTGTTACTAATTTAAGTAAATTAAGGTTGTTTTTGAAAAGAGAAAACCATGAAATTATTTAACAAACTGATCATCTATGTATTCATTTTGTTTTTTATTGAATWTAAAAAGACGAAAAAAAAAAGTTTGCCTAAATTTGAACGACCTATTTTAATAAATGACCATATATGATCATTTCTTTTATTTATTATTACTATAAGTATAATCAACTTTAATCATCTACAACTGCATGTTGTGGTCAAAAACATGATATAAAATTGCTTTTATAAACGTTTCAGACTTGTCTTGTTAATCACGAGACAGTGATTTGACTGATTGTAAGTTTAAGTTAATAMCAAACATGGAGGTGAGTTAAAAGAAAGTTTCTCTAAGCTTTGCTGCTCTCTGGCTCTGATAAATACCATCTCTGAGGTCCTGGTCCTCCAGCACGTTGTAGGCAGCGTAGTTGTCCACCCCGTGCATCCGAAGGATCTGGACCACGGCGTTGCTGAAGCCGCACATGGGCTGCGCCGGCGTCCCCTTCATGAACACCACCACCTTGTCCTTCTTCACCAGCTCACCGAGGTGCTTCTGGACCTCCGCCGCCGAGCACAGCAACCGAGCCGAAGCCAAGTTCGTCTGCCTGGACGCACGCATCGCCGCGCTCGACCGAAGGAACCTGGCTGTGGTTCTAATGATACAGTTCATGACTGATTTAATCAGGTGATGTCGTTCTCTGGTTAACACAAAACAACAATGACCTGTACGCTGTAAACAGGCTGCTCTGAACGAGGAAGCACGAGCGAAACGCGTTCGTACAAACCCTGAACGCGAGTTCTGGATGTTGATTGGACAGCTTTGACCGACGAAGTCTGAATCTGATTTGCTATTGGTCGAACTACATGTCAATCAGGAAGTCCAACAACAGAGCTTATAAAAAATGTTTTTAGTTTAGTTTGTTTTGTTTTTTTTAATCCGGACTATGGGTTTACTTATTACTAAAATAGCACATCGCACATTAGCAATAAACTTCTTAGTTACTGATTTCAAAAGTTGAAATTTTTTAAATAATTTTTTTAACATTTTTTC